CAGAAAATCCCAGCATTTGACAACTCTTAAGGAGGAGAAGTTGTGCCTACAGTCCGTCCTGCTATGTTGTGTCTGTGGTTTCTGGGTGTTACCCCTTAGGTTAGTGTTGGAACTAAGCTTAATTAGGTGTTTAGGGGATGTCCAGAAGTGTTAAGGTTTATTGTAAGCCATTAGGTCACCTCTAAGACGTCTATACTGTAATGAGTAGAGGTTAAGTGATTTGGTGCATATCCTCGTCATTTCCTTGGGAGACCTACAGACTCGGGTCCTCTCATAGCTTATTCTAACCACCATGGGTTGTCACACCAACTGATGGATGGACACGCGTTACACATCCTAACCGTACCTGCGTCTTATCTTATAGCTTCTAATTCAAATGCCATATGACAAGCAAGCAATGCCCCTACCCGCACTTATGGAACACTAGTAACTAAAATGCACCCCGTATGGTACCTTACACTGGTTTACACACTCGCTTAGCTCTTTAGTGAAAATCCCATGAGCCCCCCTACCTCCATCAAAACAAATAAGTCTGTATTTGCAGCATATAGCAATTTTATTATTCAAAAGTAAGGTATAACAGTTAGAATTGGAGTAAAATGGCAGTATACAACAGATGCAAGTGGTACATGTCTTCATCGATTAACTGAAATAGAGAATATGGATATTAGATTAACAGCCTTATTTAGAAAGACTAGTGTCTAATTTGAACTTACTGCTTGAGAAAGTTATACTGGAACTACGAATGTTTCTCGGGGCGTACGAAGCACTCAGACTGTAAGACAGTTGTCCAAAATAAATTCGAATATGGAGGTGAAAATTTGCAGGTACTTTTCATCGTAAGGGTGAACATATTAGGTACCAGTTGACATCATACCGTAAGAAAACGCATATTTGCGAGTGGTGAAACACGATCTATAAAAAAGTGAGCTTAATAACAGTTAATTACCTTTTTACTCCCTGATCATGACCCTTCGGTTACCGTTTATGGCCAAAACAGCAAACATACACTAGACACTGGTAGCAGATTTCCGGCTTTTCAATGTTAAGCTTGCTTTAACGCACTGAGTAGTGAGTACAACCCCTCTATTACTGTTATATGGCATATTTTTTCATAACAAACCCTCTGCAATAGATTGGTAGCATCTGTGACTTCATCTATAGTTGTCGGAAGTCTGGGTCCTTTCGAAATCAGTACCGATATACCCTACTGCTGGGCACTCTGTATTAGTTTGACTCGTTGGTGGAAGTGTTGTCCATAATACTGAAGAAAATTAAAAAACGCAGATTGTTTCCTTTCATTTTGCCGATAACATCATAAAGGATAGTTAGGAACGAACATGCGAACAGTTAGAGTCACAGGCGGCAGCAACAATTATTTTAGCTAAATAAAAACGAACTTCGACTTCGGATATCTAGAAAACAAGATAAAACATAACCGATTGTCGTTTGAAAACGTAAGGTCTTATGTTAGTACTAGCCAGCTTAGCTGAATAAATACAGTGACTTCATTAGCAGCAGATAAAACCCAGAAAACAAAGCAAAATCAGGAAAAACTTTGCTCCAACGTTCAGAGTATTACACTAACTTTTGAATTTTAGCACACTGAAACATCAAATTCCGTAGCTACACAAAAGAAATAGCTGAAAGAAGCACAGAACGAAGAAAGCCGACCGCCATTGCTTACGAAGATGGCGGATGTAATAATTCCCGCCTCATTCTGATTGGTTGCTAAGCTGGAGGGCACATTTACGAAATTGAGTTGCGTTTAATTGCAGCCCACAAATATTCTCTGACGATAGTGAGTTTAGAAAAACTGCTGTGGTTAACTTGAGTAGTATAAAGTACAACATGACACCCATTCTCTCTTATTATTCCGAGTGGTTGAAATTAGTCAGAGCTGTAACTTGGTTTAGAAGGTTCATCGAATTCCTGGTGGTACTTCGTTTACCGAGTTGTGAAGGATCCGTTCATCTAGGATATTTAAAGGTCAAAGAGCTTGGTATTGCTAAGCGTAAGATTTTATTGATGGTTCAGAGAGAAGTGTATGGAGAATTACTTATTGAATTTAAAAACAGCAGTAAAGTAGTAAGCCATGATGATCTGAAAGGTTTGTCGTTGATAATGCTTGATGGGTTACTCTGTGTTGGAGGTCGACTAAGATACTCAGATTTCCCAAATGCTTTTAGATATCCAGTAATTTTACCTAGTCGACACTTAGTGACGGAAATGATAATTAGACATTGTCATAAAGAACAAGGACACATAGGAAGATCATTAGAAAAAGGGTATGGATATGTGTTTACTTGTTTGCAAACATGGGCAGTACATATTGAAATGATGTGTAGTTTGATTACTGCTTCATTTGTAATGGCTTTATTGCGTTTTATTGGAAGAAGAAGGAAACCTCCAGAGATTTACAGTGTCAGTGCGTCAAGCTTCGTGGGGACAGTTTCTGAGTTAAGCAAGTTTGTGCAGCAGTCGAATCAGAAGATAAACATTGAATTGTCAGCGAGGCCCTCATCCAACAGCATGGATGGAGTTTGGGGAAGAGTGATTAGGTCTATATCACGACTGTTATTGTTGATCACCAGAGAACAGGTGAAGCAGGTCTCCTTGAAGCTTTGGATTAGTCTTTGTTGTTATTAATGTAGTTAGGTCGAGTAGGCGTACTGCTGTAAGTCCTACTCGTTCCTATGGTGTAATATGTTATATAATGAACCATGACCGTAGGCATCAAGGTAGCTTGTGTGGTATGGAGGGATTTTGGGAGCTGGTGTAAGATCCGTCTTGAATGTTTTGTGTGTTGGTGAAAATCCCTCCATGTATATACTTGTACTTTGTTCCTATTGATCCCCTTAGTTGTACATTGTTGTATTTTGGCTACATTTTAATTGTTAGTACTTGTATTTTTTATTATAGTTTTGTTTTTATTACGCATTCACTAAGTTTGTGTTTCTTCCTGAACTGCATCTGTGTTGTTTTACTTGACACTTGTTCTTGGCGGTAGCCATATTGATTTGTTCCTCCTGTTGTGTGTGATCTATCCAGTCAGGATAAAATAACGTTCATTTGTTGTAACTGGTAATTTTTCCTCATCTTCTATCAACTTCTTTATTTATTGTAATTTAGATTTGATTGATTGAACAATCATTGGTTGAATAGCCGGGTGGTAATATTTGTTTAGGTAACGATTTACATTTAAATTTATGATGAATTATAGAACAGCTATTTACCCGATTACTTGTTTTGATTTCGACGGGAAAGGGCGCGTGTCTAAAGTCCTCGGTCGGCTATTCTTCAACATCCAAACCGTAGTTTGGATTTTACAATTATCGATGGGCAATATGACATAACAGATTTTCTTTAGAAGAAGTCTTCTAGACCAAACATTTGATGGGAAATAGCAGATTTAGTCTAACTTACGAACCTATTCTTCACAACATGCTTTGATTTTGAGTGCAAAGTATAGGAAAATTCGTAAAACTGGATACATTGGCGGCTACATTGGTCATTAGCAGAGTTCGGTGCGGATAAGTGTATTTCTGTGATCTAGTAAGCAGAACGATGTCACGGGACAGTAACATTTTAGCTTTTTTATGTATTTTGTGTAAGCGACCATAAGTATAAACAAATTTCATGTAATGATAAACGCCTCCGCGTACGCTACGTATTCCCGCTTGTACTATTTGGCACGATCTTGGTATTATTTCAATACTACGATATTCTCACCAAATATATTCTATTTCGACAGTCAATTGCCTTTTGATTTTTTGTCTACGAGTGGATCAAACCTAATATCTGGTACGTAGTGTTCCTGTAGCGGTGATCATAGTCAATCGCGACTGGACGCCTACTACACATATGTGACCACTTCTATACGAACGTGACCGTTCTGAGTATTATTGGTTAGCATGCTGCACTCGACTTCTCCTGACTGTCACACCGAATCATAGATTAATGGACAACATGCGAAGTACAAGTTTTTTGTTTGAAAAGCCGTCACATCGCGTATAACTACAGTTCGTGGTTTATGTGTCTCATATTTAATTTCGTAATTTACCACTATTATGTGACCTTAGTACAGCGTTGAATCAAAAAATCGAAATAAAAGATGTAGTGGAAATCCAATTGGTTCATGCATTCAGTCATCAGTAAACAATCGTGCATACGAGGATATGTAGACGCAGTATGAAGTTAAAACACTAGCCAAATGATTCTAATTAGGGGTTATTCAGATTACATCTAAAAATGATTCGTGTTTATAACATCATTGAGCAAACAGAAAATTAGTCCAAATTATATATGATGATAAACATACATACACAAAAATTTGTGTATTAAAAACGCCCGAGGTGAACATGAGAATATTAGGATAATAAAATAAGTGTACAGAATAAGTCAGTGTAGGCCCTAAAGAAATTTATCCAGGTCACCAAAAGTCGGCACAAGATTCCTGAAATGAGTTGCAAGGATTGCTACTCATACAATTACTGAGTAAGCAGCTAATTTTTAGTTCATATTTCTTGAACGACGATTTGACCCGACAAGGAACAAAAATTCGATGATGTTAGGGGAGGTATATTTGATTGCATTTAAATATATATATCTAAAGGATGAGAAGTACTTCATTTTAGTTCGCGTGGTGACATGCTTGTGGTAATTAAATGAGCACCTTCAGCTGAGTGTTCACAATATTAACGAGGCCAGCATCAGTATTTGGTGACTACAAAAGTATTTATTGAAGAGGGTGACCGACCACTTACTTGCATTGCCATAGGTTTTAGATGGATGAAAATGCCTTCAAAGCTTAATAAAGTCCGAAGCCAACTCGAAAACCTAGAAAATGTTTGTTCTATAACCATAGTCGCTACTTTTAAGAAAAGATTATTTTGATAAAAGTGACTATCGAGAAATTGATAAAGTAGGCATTTCTACTGCCATCCTCGAAAAAGCTTTTGGATTCTAAGGGTTTCAGACTTATAATTTCAACTTTGGTTGTTTGCTACACGGCGGGTTTTGGAATTGAAGGTCACTCCAAGCAAGTTATTGATGTCCAGCTTTAATTAGTCTGTATGGGGCATACCCTTATTGGTAGTAAAGAATATTGACAAGTTAATATTCCTTATTTGTATTCCGAAATTGGAAAGTTCACTGGTCCTGGTTTTCTGAGCAAAATAGCCTCGAAATTTTTCTGGATATCGTCATTTATTTTATGCAGGTTTGTTATTGGTTTATTTTGCAAACGTTTGATAACCTTTGGTTGATGTATTTTCGAGGTGTTTCTAACGTTCTTGTTCGTAGATTCTTTGAAGTTAGACGGTTAAAGTCATATCTCTGCCAGTTTTATTTTATGTTTATACGATCTATTACCTTTTTATAAGTTAGAATAGAATTTTCTGCTGCTGTATTTAGGAAAGGCTAGTTTGTGCGTTGCGTTTTACCTCTTGACTCATACTTCATAAGGCAGTGACTTTGGAATTTATATACTAGTTGGTCAATTCCGTCAGTCATTTGTTAGTGTTGTACATGATTCTGTGATTGGTGAACTATCTCTATCTAGAGTTGTTCAGTATCTAATACAGACTACAGTCACCAGTTGATTTTCCGAACGACTTCCAGTTTTGTCGAGGTAATTAAGAATTTATCTCGGCCACATGGAGATAAATGGGAACGTTCTGGCGAGGAAAATTTACTTTCCAATGATATCGCTTCCTGATGCTGTACAGTCGTATTTGTATGTGATTTTCACCTGTATTATTCTGTTTAGAGACTCACGTACTATGCTGTTACTCACTTACAGCGGATGCAGCTTAATGATGGCATTTGTATCATAAAAATCTCTTAGAGAGAAAGGTTCAGACGAGAAATTAGATCGCAACTATCGTCAGTTCGCATAAATAAATGCATTCTTTTTACTTCATAGTCTACAGTTGATATTTTTCAGTAGAACATGATTTTTAACTCTATCTTAGTTATTAACGTGATACATAGCAAATAATGTTTTCCATACACTGTTGGAGATATCCGCTGTCGATGTTCCTACGCGGTTGTGACGTAGTATTGGGTCCAAACTTATAACCCAGTGGTTAAGGTCCAAGTTATACTGAGTCACATCTGTGAGCTGTATGTAGTGTGTGGCTGGGCAGAGACCACAAAATACATGGTGTCCAATACTTTTTATCCAATTATCTAAAAAAGCTATCCACAGCTGACCATCGACTAAAGCCAAACGAAAATTACTTTCTCCGTCACTTAAAATCGATAATATGGGTTGCCGAAAATTGTCTTGTTTGTTTATATGCTTAGTTTAAGCTGGTACCATGGATTAATTAAAAAACAGTGTGCTAAAATATATCCTTAAGTTTTGGTTTCCCTGCCCACTGTCGAAAATAATCGAACCAATTATTTCCTGGTTTTTAAAAAAAGTGTTTTCTTCACTGTGCATTAGCTGATAAAGGCTTGTTTGGTTCTGTGATGTTTATATACATTTGTGCTTTGTCGTTATGCATGATGAGGCTGAACAAAGCCAGTTCACTTCATTATCATTATGTCATGTCTTTATGTGTGGAGATTATTTAGGAAAGTTGGGTGCAGACTAAAAACCGGAAAGGCCTTTTGGCTTATGATAAAACCAGCAGAGACAGTTTGAGGCTAGAAAATCAGAAACTTTACATGACCATTATAAATTTGGATCTAGTTTTTTATACGTAGTTCTAAAAAGTCTATACAAATCTTTGTTATCTATTTCATGTATTTAGGTTTTGCCTATAAACTGTAATCACATTTCTATCGTATGATAGTAGTTAATTTCTATAGTATACTTGGATTTATATCTTGGATGTGACTGTCTGGTAGATTTTCTACTACACGGCAATTGAGCACTTGAAAATGCATTCATGGGAAATTTTTTCTTCTAGGTTAGTGCCCACACGATCATCGTAAACAATCCTTAAAGACTTTGGGTGACGGCTCAAAATCTTTGGTAACGGGTTAAGTGCATTCACCCTGCTTTTCTTTAGACCTCAAATTTCGAAATTACATTAAGAATGTCCCTATTTTACCAGTCCGTTGTGTCCTCGATTCATAATCGCTTCTATTACTGTTACTGTTACTCCTCCTACTTTAGGATTTGGTCTGATAATCTTATCTCACTGTGCTGATTAGATGTAATAACTTGAATAATTGTGCACATGCCAGGTTTTACGTTGCTTATGACTGACTGTTTATGTTAAAGCCAAAGGGGTTCAGTAGCACGTCAGTGCTTGCAGATAACCCTTTCAATTGACCTCAAGTAATTTCGTATTATCAAGCCAACGAAAATTAAATTTTCAAGAAATCATAAGATTGTCAGTCGTTAACATCTCGTTGTATATTTATACTGGTACTAAAATAGAACGTAGGTATTACTCCGACGACAGCACCTTGTACTTGTAAATTAGACATGTTTTGTAACTCATATTCACTTTCTATATCTGCTTTTTATTTTCTGGGTAATACTGAACTTCGGGTGGCCGAATATCACTAATTTTCTTATAGAAAGCATAAGAACTATTACCTTGTTACTGAATTGGATTATTTTATTGATGTATCGTATCCAAAAGATTGCCATTTTTATAATATCCTTGCCTTTGATACCGTCAATGCTATTATTTTACAGGTTATTAAAAATAAATTTGTAGCTGTCTGATCCATTTAGTTCATTTCTACAGGTTCTTGTAAACAATGGACGATCGACCAGTTAGTGGTGTAGGCGCTTACAAAATTAATTGGGATGAAATTGATGAAATGTCAAATCCATTTGGAAGTGGTGGTATAGGTCTTCCAGCTAAAAATCAACTTAAGTCTGTTACTAAATCATCCGCCCAAGGAGATCGCCCAAACGATAACATAAATCAACCAACAAACTTATCAGTTGACTCCAATCCTGAGAAACTACCAAAGAAATCTTTACAGAACCCTCAACCGCTACCCAAACCTCTCCCCAAGTCTAATAACTATACTGAAGTCAAGCAATCCCTGAGTCCCCTGTCGTCTGAAGCGTCGCCTGTGGTGGTGAACGGACAGGACGTGCCTAAAGACGTCCAAAAGGGAAATGTTCCTCATTGTAATGGTGAACTGCTTTCAACTCCAGGTAATCGATGTTCCAAGATAAAAATAACATCGAAATTAATTGCAAGTTTTAAGCTTCATTAATTGGCAGATAAAATGATGCATCTTCTAAAGCTTTTTCCATGTCAAATCCTCAGGTCAACAAAACGCAAACGTAAAAGTAATATAAAACTGGAATATTAGCTGGTTAGATACTTATGGGAAGATGAATTTAAGCCGTTAAATCATCAACATTTCTCCTCGGTCATGTAGTTGAGTACTTGATATAATTATTCGAGACCATATGTTTGTGTAACAGTCTGCTGCGAGTTACCATCTAGGTATTGCCATACAGTTGATGTTCGTTGTCTATAATTCCGTCGAACCCGTTACAAGCATTCCGTTTGCCTTCGACTTTTAGATTTACTAATCTTTTTGAGTTTCGCGAAATCATCCTTTTCACAAACATTGATGAATAAAAATGAATAAACAGCCTCCACCTTTAAACCAAATGAAGTTTCTATCATTTTTATCGATTTTTACCAGCTCTTACTGAATCATGCTAGTTCGTTTGCTGGTGTGAGTTGGTATTAATCTGGGATGAACGATTGTCGATTCACAGTTGCACCATGATATTAATAATACCTGTTTGCTAGTGAGTGATAAATGACTTTATTCATGAAGGATTAATCAGATGACGTAGTTACCAAGATCAAACAACAAGGGATTGTTTAGCTCTAAAGATATGTATAGTATTATTCATATCTAAAAAAATCATTGATCAGTCCATGGAAATATATGCAGCTAGACTTCTCCCAGCTAGTCAGTCAATCACAACGTAGAATCTGTACGTATGTATATCTGTTCAAGTTGCCATGCCTCAGTAGTCCAGAGACGTCAGGCCAAATCCCAGGATAGTGGAGGTAGTAGCAGTATCAGTAGTAATGGGAAAGATTGGGCATCAAAGATACGACTAGAAGAGCAGATATAAATGAACAAAGTAAAAACAAAAAAAGTTATGAAGAAGTTAGAATCTCAGAATTCGAGGGAAGACAAAAAACAGATGCACCTGTACCATTAGGACTCTCCCACCATCCCTAATAATAAAGGATATGATCCGAGAAAATATAGATTAATAGTGTGAAACACTGTTTAGGATGATTTTGAAAATTTGTATCTAAGGGAGAATAAAGAGTGAGTGAGCATGACCTATGGCAAACGATTTTGAGGTACGTCATCCAAGTTATCTAACCACTGGTTACGCTTTCGGGTGAACCTAAACCAGATAGTGTGCACCTACTTACATGATTCAGTTCAACAGTCACTAACTTCATAGACTGATCTACTTAAGTTTTGCCTTATTTTATCTATTTAGTTCTACAATTCTCTTCTCAAATTCAACACATGTTCAATGACTAAACGTGTAAAATATCGCAAACTAGTGGATAATTCTAACCACTGACCTTAAAATGACAACCGCCGAATTATTGCTTTTAAAATTAATACTGTAAAATAACATAATTGCTTAGTAAAATTCTTTTGCTTGAAGCAGCAACTATACTCATGTTATAATCTAAAAAGACAAAGATTTGAAACTGTCGTTGAGAGATACGAACTTTTCTCATGTTGTTTTGGTCTCGCGATAAAAAGTTAACTAATAATTAGAACTTGATGTCAAAGTATCGATCATATTGATAAGGTTACTGCTCAACAGTTTGACCAGTTTTTGGCCCCAACTATTGCGTAAAAAGATTCGACTTCTGTTCCAATTAATTTTTAGCTTCGCTTGTTGGATAGTATCCCTACCCCCCACATTTTGAAACATGAACTTGTAGTTGATTATATTACACTAGATTTCATTGGGTTAAGTAAATAGAGATTACAAACAATTTTTAATATTTCGACCGAATTTTTAATAATTCAATTATCTACCACTTATTATTGCATAGTTCCCCAATCAGTCCCATCTCCTGAAGAGATATGTGAAGTGAGTTTACAACTTTGAATAAAACAGTGTTTAGTGTGAACTTTTTCATGACAGTTTTTGTTGTTATTGTAACTGATTATTCCTTGTTATGTTTATATGCATTCATTTTAATAATTAATTCTATATTTAATTATTTTGATTGTCCAGTAATTTGTCTAACGAATTCTCTCAATTAATAGGCGTTTTTAATTTTTACTTTCTCTGCATAATTTCAATGTTCTAAACTCTGGTTTTCGTTTTATTTATTTAACGACCGATAATTCTTTTATTTCTAAATATAAGAGCAACAGTTTGTACAAGGTGGTTTAACAACAGTAATTTCAACAAACGAAACAAGCTTAAAATCAGTTGTTTATGAGATCGACCAGTTACTTGGAGTCGTTCCCATTAGGCGAGTTGACTGAATCACCTCTACAAATATTGAACTTAAATCCTTAGTAGGCATAGGTTCAGGGGGTCATTTTAGGTACTCTGTGATGTTTAGGGAGATCCCACAAGGTCTCTATCCATGTTGTCAAATGCTTTCTCATACTTATCACAGGCCAGCAGTCGTAGTGTTTCATGACATCAGGGCTACCTTCGATTCGTTGGACAGGAATGTTCTCTGGGATTGTCCATCGAAATATGGTGTGTCTGCGAAGTTTATTAACATCCTAAAAGCCCTATATACAAACACCTCATGCAGAGTGAGGGCATACAACCACCTTTTTCCATTGTTCCATTCGAGCAGTGGGGTTAGACAGGGTTGCCCAATCTCGCCATTCCTCTTCAACTTTGTTATCGATGACGTTCTGAAAACAGCGCTGATGGATGTAAGTAATGGCGGTGTGGGTCTGTTGCATGGAGAAAGATTTCTCGATTTTGAGTATACGGATGATATTGTCTTACTGTGCGATAATGCCCAAGTCATGCAATCCGCACTTAATCAGTTGGCAATCGGTGTCCGTAGGTACGGTTTGTGCTTTGCACCTTCGAAGTGCAAAGTACTTCTACAAGACTGGCAGGATTCCAATCCTGTACTCACCCTGGACGGTGAACAGATAGAAGTAGTCGATAAGTTCGTGTATCTGGGTAGCTGCATAAGTGCTGGTGGGGGTGTGAGTGATGAGATCAATGCACGAATAGTGAAAGCCAGAGTGGCTCTTGCCAATCTGGGCCACCTTTGGCGCCTTTGTGATGTCACTCTGGCTGTGAAGGGTCAGATCTACAACGCGTCAGTGAGAGCAGTTTTTCTCTATGTTTGTGAACCCTGGCCTCTCCGGGTTGATGATGTTGGACGACTCTCTGTGTTCGATCATCGTTGGATTGCTGACATTCAGTGGCAACACCATGTCAGTAATGCAGAGGTTCGGCATCGTGTGTTCGGGCACAGAGATGATAATGCAATCGATGTCACCATCTTGAAACACCAATTTCGGTGGCTTGGACATGTTCTATGAATGTCGTCCCAGAGAATTCCACGTCGTGCATTATTTGCCGACTCTGGGACTGGTTGGAAGGAGCGGAGAGGTGGTCAGCGCATGACATGGTGTCGTGGTATGAAAGAAAGCTGCAAAGGGCTGGCTTGTGTTGGTCCTTCACGACTCCCTGGCTGGGGTCCGAGAGATGGTGCAACACAGTGGCTAGAGACGTTATCAGATATGGCTCAGAATAGAAGCCAGTAGCGATTCTGCTGTAACCTTCTTTTACTTTCTTCATAAAAAGTGGTTGTAACTTCCTTAACTGGAAGAATTCTTCTGCTTGTACCTCTACGTTTCCCCCATTATTCTTCCTGTTAGTATTACACTACCACACACTAATCTGTGTTCGTTATTGTTTTTTTTCTTATATGCACCTTACCTTCTTTTCCTCTTCTCATTCTCATTGTTCTGTGTGGCGCATATATATCTGGTGCCCCTCTTGTACCAATTTTTATGTGTTCAAATAAATAAATAAATTCCCATAATCAAGTTTTCTACCCACTTGTTTTTTTCCTTCTCATCCTCAGTGATTGGTTTCCCTTCCTTATTCCTCACTGATCGTTCAGGTTCACTATATTTCCCTACAGACTTAATTGTATCATATGGTTTTCCATATTCCATTCTCTTGCAGCCCTTTCTGTCATAGTTCCCGGGTATTGTACTTGTTCCACTGATCAACTTTATTGCTCTTGGTTATTCGCTTGTTTGTACCTGCAGTTCCCAACTTTATACTAGACCCTCCGCGTTTACTTGGGTTTGGGATGGGGCCTAACATTATTAATAGTAATAATTAACTCATCCGTCAGATGCTTGGGTATGTACCATACTCTAGCTGTTAGGCAAAGTTCCAACCTAGGATGTAGTGGCTGAAATTCGAATGCATTAGCCACTAATCCACAGTTACCGTGAGTAACCCTAGAGGGGATCCAGATGCAGTGTTCGATTAGTTAACTAACGGCAATCCCGGAACAGTAAAACCTACATCAATAATTAACGAGGTAAATAAAAGTTCATAATTAAAACAATATAAAGTTATAAACCAGATATTTAGTAATTACATAATAAAAATATACAAATTAATTCCCCCTACAATAGTTCTATAGGTTCAACCTTTCTCAAATATTCGTTCCTTTAAAACAAAGAAGCGTTACTTACTTAGTCAATGGGATTTTCGAGTAAAAATTCCTTTTAAAGTGTTGCCTACATACTATTTAGATCATGAATTTATCAAGTTACTATTATTGATGTAATTTAGTAAGTCCTCACGTGTAATTTTCCGTTATAATTTTTTTCATCTTTTGTTTTTTTATCGACTTTCGTTGGTTCTTTTCAAATCATTCGTGAATGAATGGAAAATGCAAATATTACCAATGCTAATGTTTCAAAATATCCAAGGCATTACAAAGTGTTATTGGTAAGTTGAAAAATTCATTGCGTTTCTCTTTAAGGGAAAATTTTGTTTTATTTAAGTGTTTTTATCTTCTAATAGAGATTATTTGAAGGTTAACTATTCAGCTTATAATGAGGTCTTATCATCATATTCTTTTTACCTATAAATGCAGTCGAGGTGGGATATTCAATTTTCACTCATTGTAATGCAAACTCGAACTCTGCTTTTTCACTTTAAACAGCTGATTAGTATCACAAAAGGAGTATACAAAAACGATCAGATATTTTTTTGCAGTCTTATTTAATCACGCAAAGAAACTGTTACAATTCGTTAATCGGTCTGATAATTTGAACACAAACACTTTAGTAATTGAATACACTGAGTCATATTGTTTTAATTCATTGGTTTGTTATGATTAGTTTTGTTAACTTTACCAAGATCTAAATTCGAATTGGCGCATTTATGTTTTGTATAAATCAATAAATTATTGAACTATTAAGTTACTGAATTAAAAATTTCGGTAGGACTCTAATTTATGGACGAGCCAATCAGAAGCGTTTAAGGAGTTTCAAGGTCACGGCGCTAAGTTCAATGCGAGATGCTCACATTCGATCGTTTTACAGCAGATTTTAGAGAAGAGGTGATCGTTGAGAGACTACAGCAGATGGGACTATTAAGAAGTTTCTGTGTCTGTGACTGCGGCAATCAAATGACCGCAGCACGATGTGCAGACTACCGCGGTGACATTGTATTTCGTTGTACTATATGTTGGAGAAAAAAATCTGCTCGAACTGGCACTTTTTTTGCCCGGTCACGGCTAAGGCTATAACAAATTATGATAATCGTTGCAAATTGGATCATAAAGTCTCCAGTAACATTAGCTGCGGCTTTTGTAGATGTTACGGAAACCTCCGTCCTTCAGTGGTATAGATATTGTCGTGATATATGCGCAATGAAAATAACACGAGTACATGAATCATTGGGAGGAGTTGGAAAGATAGTGGAAATAGATGAGGCGCTAGTTAGAAAGCGAAAATACAATAAAGGACGTTTTATCAAAGAAGATTGGGTAAGTAGCACTTCCGTGAATATACTTGACAGGTACTTGAGTTTTACGATCGTTCAACTCAAAAAGGACATTTTCAAAGAGTAAGAAACCGTCAGGTAACGACGATCATACCAATCATCAAGGAGTGCGTTCAGCCTGGCACGACGATCTATACCGGTGATTGGAAAGCGTATAGATGCCTCTCGAGACTAGGTTTTGTGCATCATGTTGTGGTGCACAAACGTCATTTTGTTTATCCAACGACGGGGGTCCATACAAACAACATTGAGGGCATGTGGTCTAGGCTGAAGTATTTTTTAAGACCCTACCACGGCTCCAGAGGACGATTATTATGGAGCCATATGGACGACTTCTTATACCTCATGCACTATGATTTCAAAACGTCTGAACCTTTATCAAACCTCAACAAGTTCTTAAATCATTTTAAAGAAGAATATCCATTGTAATTCATCAGTTTTTTATAATATATTTTTGCTTTATACTAACTCTCCTCTGACTGGCTAATGTTTTCAAGGTCACTTAAAAATACGTTCAAAGGTCGTCCATAAAGTAGAGTTTCACCAAAATTTCTACTTAATTTGAAAAACAGCCTTCACGATAGGTTAATTAGGCGTCATACATTAAGTAATATTGAACAAATATTTCCTTCTTTTCGTGGAATATACAGAACATGTATTTAGTTTTCTCTCACAATTAATCTTTTAACTTGTAAATTTTACAACAAATACATAGTGAACAAGTGACTTTTTATTATTAGTTCTAGAGAATGCATTTGACCTATTGATTAATCAATCGTGTGATGTAGACCCGACAATAGGAACCTCATTCAGAAATATTTCTTTGATAATTAACTAGTAGTGCTATTTTATCCTCCAATACATTTGACTGAGTTTGATAATTATTCACTAATTCAAACCGGTTTTCACCTTCTTACTGGTTTCGGGCATCTGGTTAGCATAATTAATGCTTGCACAAGTAATGTAATTCAAATCTGAATGAATGAATCTATCTATGCTTAATTATTATTGAGTTAATTTAGTAGTTAATTTTTGATGTGGCAATTAATCATTAATTATGTATGAATAAATGATTTTAACAGGAATATTAGTGAATAACAAATAAGCAAACAAGATAGCTATATATTTAGTGTTATAGATAATCAATGTTTTTTATCTTTACCTGATTCTAATTTCTCAGTTCTATTGGTCTATATCTGTTACAAAATGAATGAACATAAAATCTGTATGTAGACTCATAAATCCTCTAAATATATTCATAAATACTATATTGACATAATGTATCACATACCTTATTCCTTATTCACATTTGATAAATATTCTCAGTAGGTGTAAGTGAATAGTTATGTTTCGTATTCATATTGTTTAAATGAGCGTCAGGTTAAATTCAGTGACTTTTTTAAAAGACAATAATTTTTATGCTATATAATGTATGACTTTGACTTTCAATGTGATGTGCTGATGAGTGACCAATGATTATGTAGAGAATAGTTAGTATCACATGGTTTATTATTACTATTATTGTCACGATAATAAGTACGGTAAATTGTTTGCTTTTAATAATCTGTTAGTTATAATCATGATTCTCTTAGGTGACTTATTATTGATTTTTCTTCTGGTAAATGAGTCAATCATTTATTTAGTTAGTTACTATGTTATCAGGTCATATACACTTGTGTTGTAGCAACAAATGTCACCTGAAGTTAGTTTTGTGTTGTGGATTAGAGATTAGGACGACTAACAAATGAATCCAATTCGATTAGCTCTGTGTTAATTGTAATAAACGCTTCACATTAGTGATTGGTTTTTCTAACTATCTAACAGTGTACACCCGAAATTGAACTCAACCTTACTGGGGCTGAGGATCCAGACTCTCACTTTCACAGAAACCTGATATAATTTCTAATCTCGTAGTAGGTTAGAGTTACTGGTTACTTTCAAAATAAATGTGATCTATGCTTGCAAAATTTCGATAGACATTTTATCATATTAGTAAACTCTAATTATACGTCCCTCTAGATGTCGTATTCGGCTTAGTTTTTCTTTGTCACTTCTAAATCCAGCAGAACCTGCCGTTTTCGTTTATTGTTAAACATATTGTATATCAAGCGTATATTATTTAATTATTGATGGCTATAATTTTTTACTAAGTAGATTATTATGCAATGTGTAGTGATTGATCGACTTTAACGTGCTGTGATTCAGTTCAAAATTGTTCGAAGTTTGTGTCACATATTTCAATTTCCTTTAATCTTCAGTTGAGTAAATTTCACTTAAAAAAGCTGAGCGGATCGATGTATACTTGCGTACTGAGTTGGATTATTCAGCTAATCCGAGTGTGATATAAGTTAATGAAAACCAAAATAAGACTAGATAAAATTGATAATTATAAACCCATCATAATTGAAAAACGAGAGCTGATAATCAAATGTCTAAACGAAAACTGCAATTGAATGTTTGCTACCAGTAAAAACATGCATCGTCACTACAGAAATGATCATGGGAATAGAGAAATAGAAAACATGAAAACAGACATATATGCATGTCCAATAAAAGACTTTCTAAAAGAGTATAAAACACAAGGATGACTGATAAGACATACTATCCACAAAAATTCAATGAATTTGAAGAGAAAACGACGGAATATAAACAAACAGAAGACCCTGGAGTCTTGACGATCGTGAAAAACAACGCAGATAGTCATTTAAGTAAAATGGCCGTATGAACACCGCATAAAGAAATTACTAACACGGAAAGGTATGGTTAATCATTGCTATGTGGTTCATAAATGGTCTGCAATCACTGGATTGGAAATAAGAAAAAGCAAGATCAAGACAAAAGCAGCTATTGATCCCCGGTAGTTGTACCGTGTCATCAGTGAGTGTCCAGATAAGCTAATCGGCTTCAACAACCTATTTAACTGCAAGGGGTAATAAAAATGGTGCCGAATGCCATTATTCCATCATTATGTACCGTTTATAAGCAGAATAAATTATTATTTGATTGTAAATGAGTATTTATTGTTCATTTAAGTTTAATGTTCAAACTGTATTCGAATACCACAGTTGAATAGTGTTTTCTGTTTGTGATCTAAGAGCTTTAGTGAAGTCATGTTAATAAAAGTTTTATCTTATAAAACAATCATAAGTTACTCACGAGGAATTATTCAGAAATGGAAGCAAATTAGAATTCATGGGGATCAATATTCAAGTTGAATTTTTTTTGTTTCATTTGTTAAAACGAAATATACATATACATACATCCATTAAAATGGTAATACATTGCACATTCAGTCATATACTATGAATACAAAAATAGGCAATCGTTAACAATATAGAATTCTGTATGAATATGTATCCTTCCAAATTGCCACATTTCACACTAACACAGTGAAAGACATTAAACTGAAAAGCAATAAAATGAAAATACTGACACTAACAAAAAGGTATTGAATAATACTAAACTTAAGACAATAAAAATTAGGTATTGTTAATGTTAGTTCTGATTTGTCTAGTATTCCTTATCGATTGTCCGAAATTAGAACAATGATGAAAGGAAAACAAGATATATTTTAGATAACCGGGACAACAAGAAATGCAGTAGTAAAAATACAGGGTTTTTTATAGATCCTGCAAGTGAGACTTTTAGTATGTTGTCGGTCCCGCTTCTAGCATCGATTGACTGAAAATTAGACCAATCAAAATATTCTGATCTGAGCTCAGGCTGAAAATGTAATCGTCAGGATTTTATCCAGCTAAAAATCGATAGTAACATACTGTCAACTTAAGGGTGTGATTTGGTTCTATTGAAAGCACAAAGAAACATTAACATAATGTTAATATTTTATTGCAATTAATGATGTATGTTGGGATATATAGTTTATCTCGGATATATCTTCTAGGCATATGTCTTCGACAAGGTTTTCTGGTTTACGTGAA